AGCCACGGGAAATAGTGTTAACTCTTTCCTGACTGAACCCAGCACAAAAAGTTACCAGGAAAGAAAACTGGCCGAAGAGATCTTCAAAGGAAGTGGTGAAGGACCGAAACATTCTTCTGTTAGATAAAAAGAAAACAGGGGTGATGCTGGTACCAAAGACTCCAGCAGAGTGGCCATCTTCACAGAAACGTAGCGTAGCACGGCTTCCCTGTAGGCTGGGTCTGAATGTGGTGTCTTCAGTTTAGATAGTGTGGTTTTAGATATTTCCTACTTGGGGAGCCGACGTTTGTTGTGGTGGCTGCACTGGACATCCAAGGTCTCCAGGGAGAAAATGTGTGATTTCCTCCCAGGAGATTCCCTGCAGGAGTCATCCCCTCACAAAAGGGAACACAAGGCAGTTTTCCATGAGCCGTGTAGTTTTACATGAATTAATTGATTTGCCAACTAAAAGGTATTTCTGCAGCTGAATTGCTGTGTTTCCATTATAAACAGCATTAAAACAGTCACGTAGAAACAGATGATACAACTCACACTGATCTGGTGAAAGAAACACTTAGTAATGCTGTTCCTTTCACTACGATAGCAGAATTCCAGTTGGCTCCCAGCTCGGAAGGCAAACTGGAGATTCTGCAGGCAAAGCAACGCGTATCACTAAAACTTCAGAGAACTTCAGCTTTGGCAGAATAACTATGCAATCAGCATGAAAAGCTGTGGAATTGTTCTGATTGGTTTAGATTTTCTTAATGAGTCAAGGAAAAAGTAGCACTGGGAGACTGTGAGACAACCTTGACTTGAACCAATCTGCAGGTTAAATAGCAAAATTGGCAAGGAATGACAGGCACCCCGTTAATGAGAAACAACTGTGGTGCTAGAGAAACAGCCTCACCTGAAAGCTGTGTTTTACCAAAAGAGGAAGGACGCCACGGAGTGCGCAATATCTGACAACTGTACCTTCCTTCGATTCCGAGGAGGCTTCAAGTGAACAGAACCATCACTGTCTGTGCCCGGTATACGAGACGTATCTTTTACTGTTGTGGGCACACCTCATTGCCTGTGAATGTATAAAAATGCATGAACACATGAGAAATGTAAAAAGGTGAGGCCATCAGGAGCCTACAGTCTCTTTACCCTTCCCCGCTGGATGCAGTCCAGGTCTGCAGTCCCTCCCTGTTCTGCAGGGACCCCGCTACACACGTTACTTCACAGGAGGCTCAGGACACGTTTAAAGACTTGGCTGAATTGGGTTCTAAAGGATGAAGGCCTGCCATAGGATGAGTTATAACCCATTACCCCAAACAGGTAGTGGTGGCGATTCTGTGGTTTGATTTCAGCTGTAAATCACACAGGTTCTGTAGAGAGGATATAAAACCTGATCAGCAGTTGCTGGTACTGAAGCTGCGCCTGCGGGCACAAGCTGTGAAGAGAATGCCCAGCGGAAAGGAGCTGTGCGCCTCTCCGTCCCCAAGTGTCATTTCTTGGTCGTGTCAGTGCTGCTGAGTGGCCCTTTGCACGCTGCGTTTGCACAGCGTGTCGCCTTCAGACGCAGGAAAGAGCACGCTTTGTGTTTGTCTAGGAAGAAAAGGTGAAGAAGGGTCGTGTGGCCTGCCGGGTCAAGACGGCTTACCTGGGGCCCCTGGACCACCGGGTGACCAAGGGAATATGGGGGAGCAAGGATACACTGGGCCACAAGGTAAGAATGAAACACGACTTTTGAGAGGTGTGTGTGAGATGAGACAGAGACCTGAGTTTTCTCTGTAGGCCCCCAGTTCACAGAGACATACATCCGCCCCTGGCCTGAGATATTGCGACACTTCGGTCCCCTCTCAGCTCAAGCACTGATCGTGACATTTGTGAATGATTTCATAACGCATAAAAAGACCTATCAGGGGAAAATTTATCTCAGCATCCATTATTAGCCAGAAAGGCAATTAAGCACACATGCTTAAACACCATATATCAATAGACAGGCATTTCTGAGTCGGGACTAAGGGTGCGACTCTCTGAGTAATTAAGATTGCATTTTAACTGTGCCCTCTGCTTATAAATGAATGGTTTAATACATACTGGGAGGAAAGGGCACTGTTACTGCAGGGCTTCAGATTCAGTCCATCCTAGCGAGCGAGTGGGAAATCATTGCCCACCTCAATTCATTTCTTAGTCCATACAGCACAGAGCACAGTGGAAAAGCCAACTGTCACGCGTTCTGTGGCAGTGTGGTTCATTTCTCTTTGGTCAGAAGGGTAACGTGAGTCTCCTGGTGTCTCTATTGCCCAGGAAACCCGTGACGTTGTGTTACATTCAGTCAGGAACCCCTTACTGAACACTCCAGCAGAGATAAAAGGTCACACTAGCTACGTGTTCATACAAGTACATTTCTTCTACCTTTTCTCCTGTGTGTAAGGTCCACCTGGCCAGACTGGTGTCCCAGGACCACCAGGCCCCCATATTAGATCCGCGAGTGGATTCTTGCTCGTCCTTCACAGTCAGTCGGACAGAGAACCACTCTGTCCACAGGGGATGCCAAAATTATGGACCGGCTATAGTCTGCTGTACCTGGAAGGACAAGAGAAGGCTCATAATCAAGATCTTGGTACGTACCGCAGCACATAGCTGCACTCTAGTTAAGGTCTACTGTGGTGTGATCCACACAATGAATGCAAAGTCAAACGAAGCACACTATAGAATCGTTACTTCCTTATTTTCTACGGACTCAAAACTAATTTATACTGATCATAACGAGCTTGGCTACGCTGCCCTATTACGTGACCCATTTAAAATGGCTTTCTGCTGCCAGCTGAATGAAAACAGTATTTCTGCCTTTAAGGAGTTTTGAATAGAAGCTGGAGAGATGAGTGGTTCGTTTCACTCATCGTGGGTAGTCATTTAGGGCTCTTTGAACTCACTGGAGAGGTTTTCCGACATCAGGAATCTCATTCAGCCACTCTGAAATAACTCCTTGGAGGATCTTCTCCTTTTTACTGTCAAGGCAGCTTGGGAAAAAGAGCTGGTTAGATGGTTACCGTTGGGTAATACAAATCAGCGTTACCAATAAAATTATGCATCACGTGTATAGCAGAATTGTGTGCTTTTGAGAGTCCCAGGCTAATCTTTTTCAGAAAAGACAGAGCCAAATTTCTGCCAAAGACAGGTCTCTTGGGGTCTTGGGTTATTTCTTCTAAGTTTTCTACAGTTCTGACTAAAATCAGCTGTCTAAATAAGCAGCCTGACTTGCAGCCCAGGATACTGATTGGCTGCAATTTGCACGGAAGAAATTGCCTCTTGTATAACAAGCCAACAAGAATTTAGGAAAAGAAATCTCCTAGGAGGAAAGGCCAAGGACCTAATAAGCTGGACAAAACCAGAAGTGTTTAAAAGAGTAATAAAAAGAGATATTTTTAGTACAGCAGTGTTGGTTTGAAATGTTTTCACCATTTGGCATTCCACAGGAGAGCCAGCTGGTAACAGAATGCCTTATAACAGCACTGAAAATACGATTCAGAGAAAATAAAGCCCTTGTTTCCTGTGACCAGCGTGTGCCTTTTGCAGGCACTTTCCTTACTGGGGCTACCCCAGCTCCTTTAGGATTACTGGAATGGAATATTTTCAGTGATAAACAAAACTGGCTTCTGTAGAGAAATGTCACGTCTTCAGGGAAGGCATTAGGGTTTGGGGGCATTACAGAAATAACACATCACGCACAAAGTTCAAGGCAGAATGTGTATGCAGTGATTATTATAGTTAACTAAATAGGTCATCATGAAACTGTTCTAAATTCAGTTCTGGGAGAAGAATTTCACCTCTGAAGCAGGCTGAAGTACGCACTAGTGCCTTCTTAATTCCCACTGATGGCTGCCCCACGAGGAATTTGCAGGACTGGCTCTGCAAAATCCCTCAATCCTTTTATTTCAAGAGCCTGTGAAACCTCTCTGGAAGGCAGTGGAGCGGCTGCTGAGATTTCAGCCTCATGCACAGATAGCAATGGCTTGTCATACTTCACCAAAATTTTCTGTTATCAGCACTGGCATTTGGTTTCTCTCTGCTCCTGATGAGTTTGTAAATAGCAGATCTCCTTTTAAGCCAGCCACCACCTCTTGCCTAATTTATTTTTCAGCGTTGGCACAGCTAAGAGATTTGTTAACATGACTGTTTGCCACGGTGACAAACTGCGTCATGTTTAAATACCGGATGGTGACATAAACATTTCTGGTGAAAGGAAGATAGGTATTGTTCAAAAGGTTTCTGCTTTCCACGTAAGTCGCCGTTCTGGCAGAGAGCCTGGGAGGTTCACCACCTGTGAGCTACCCAGCTCCGGTTAAGATACAGGTTTTGTGGCAACACTGGCCGGAATACTGTTTCCAACGTCCTTGGAAGGAAGCAGTGCCTCTTGCATCAACTGTTCCTCTTTTCAGGTCTGGCAGGGTCTTGTCTTCCCGTGTTCAATACCATGCCCTTTGCTTACTGCAATATCAACCAAGTGTGTTACTACGCCAGCCGAAACGATAAGTCCTACTGGCTGTCCAGCGCCGCTCCCTTACCGATGACGCCGCTCCTGGAAGAAGAAATACAACCCTATATAAGCAGATGTGCTGTGTGCGAGGCCCCAGCCCAAGCAGTGGCGGTTCACAGCCAAGACCAGTCAATCCCTCCCTGCCCAGTGAACTGGAGAAGCCTTTGGATAGGATACTCCTTTCTGATGGTAAGAGTCTGGGCACGTGGTCGTGCACGTTACGTTCCTCTCATTCAGCTTTTGCGTTTGAAAGGTTCAAGGATTTTTAGCTCTGAGAAGTAAAGTACCCAGTGTCTAGCAAACATTATAAAGGAAAATTCAGACGGAGAAACAAGCTGAGGGTTAGCTCCAAACTGCTGATCCTGGCTGTAGCTGTATGTACTGAAGCCCCAGCCTTAAGCTACACGTTCCTTAAAATCACAAAGCTCTGGCTTGTGTGTCTAACGAACAGTGGGGTTTTCATGTACACAGACACACCTTTCGGAGTTAGAGAGCCGGGTCTTTTTGGTGCCGTTACCTCTGCACTGTAGTTTAGGTAACAGCATTTAGAGTCCACCTGGACCACACTCTTCTTCCGTTTCCTAAATACCAGAAAAGTAAGTGAGCTGGGTCAAGATTTTTGAGATTAAGCTCTTACAGAGCAAATGAAGATCTTCTCCAGCAAGGGAAGCTTCCTCCAACTTAAGATCACTGAAAATAGTGCAGTTAAAAGCAAATAAAGTCAGAAAAATACCAATTAACATAATTCACCTGCTTTTCATGTTATCAAGTGCTGTCATTGTTCTTTCCAGCACACTGGATCTGGTGATCAGGGTGGTGGACAGTCTCTTATGTCACCTGGAAGTTGCCTAGAAGACTTCAGATCAGCACCCTTCATTGAATGCCAGGGTCAGCGGGGAACATGTCAGTTTTTTGCTAATGAGTACAGTTTCTGGCTCACAACAGTGGTGCCTGAACTGCAGTTTGCATCCGCTCCCCTGTCAGGAACTCTCAAAGAAGGACAAGAGCAGAGAAAGAAGATCAGTAGATGCCAGGTGTGCCTGAGGCATGGCTAGCGAGAGAAATGAACAGCAGCAGCCCGGGCGAGACTTGCAGAAGGTGAGCAACACGCTGGAGGTTTAAACAGCATTTAATATTTGCATGTGTTTGAGAGTGTGCAGCACTCTTCCTTTTGCTTGAATGCGTCTGCAAGACTCGGAGGTGAGGGTTCTGTTGAACCTCACCCACCACGCACACACATCTACAGGTAGTAAAATTAACAGTGAAATGAAACTGTCACATCGGAGTGCACTGCCATGATGGACGGGTAAAAAGGTGAGCTTGGAGGGTTGAATCCAGTGCAAAGGAAACCATACCTGCCATGCAGGACAATGGCTTTCCTGTTAGAAACGGCATTTACAACAGGAAGAGTATGTGCATTTACATGGCATATTATAAATATTTATCCTTGTAGATACAGATGTGCAAACATACAGATGTCTTAAAGCCCTAGAGCTGAATTTCCCCAGCTAAAGAAACCTGCACGTGCTGCTTCTGAGGGAAGGGAAAGATGTAATTGTAAAAAACCTCATAATAAAAACAGTGAAGATCAAAGTCCTTTACGGTTGCAGTGCTGAACCAGACGGTGAAGAACCAGTTAACTGGGCTTTCCTAAGCAATGAAGTTGCAAATCCGTTCAACGGCAGGTCATGTAGGAAAATAAAATCATGAGATAATGAATCCTTAAAAAGCTGTATTTATATTCACAATTAATTTCTAAGAGCAGTTAAATTAAATTATTAAGCTCCAATCCAAGTAGCTGAAGAAGCAAAGCACTTTCTAATATTTAGGGGAAAGAGGCAGTAGGATGGTGATAACAGGGGTGAACTCATCTGCGTGACGAACCCGAGAAGTGTTAGGACTATTGTCCAAACTTGAAGCTAATAAACTTTGTTCATGTTTTTGCTTTTTATTTGTAAACACACCACCAAAATAAAAGAACCATCAACCTTTTAAGATCCTTATGGAATCATAGGTCTAGAGATGCTTTTTATCTTTTAAAGCCTTGATTGTTGAAATGTTCGTAAGGTAAATCACTAAACCCATGACAAACAGGGTACACACATCTACACCTCCCTCATCCCACTACAAACCCAGAACTATTCAATGCATATTTTAATTATGTGAAGCTACTGAAAGGACAGGTTGCAAATGGAGAATTCATCCCATGCAGAAGGAGCACAAACGCTCCTTTCACCGCTTCAGTCAGCTCCATTGTTCTGGAAGGGAATAAAACGGGGTTTTTTCCAGCAGTTTTAATTTCCATTTGTGTTCAAAAGAGAGGTGTCCCCAGCAAAAGGATTTTCAAGGGAACAGAAATCCCCCTCCAAGAGTCCTAATTCACAGAAAGCTCCCTCTGCCGACATCACGAGCCCAACAGGCTGATCAGCCAATTTAAAAGTTGGATACACAAACTCAAAGAGCAGGAAGGACAGACATTCCAGTCTCAGCCAGGGGAAAACAAAACAGAGGGTAAGTCCATTCAAGGGTAAATAGGTCTGACAAAACCAACCAAACCTCGCTGATCTGCTGCGCCTACACGCTGGTCAGCCAACCCTCCTGCTCTTTCACCTGGGCAAGGATCCAGAGCCCTCCTGGGGCATGTCCCAGTCCCACCTGCCTCAGGGAACATTCCCCTTGGGTCCTCACGGCTGCTGGGACAGGGCACAGCTCTCGGTTCACTCCGCAGCCATCCCAGCTGTGTGCTGCAGGGCTGGCATGGCACACCGTCTTCTGAGGAGGCACCGCTCCCTGCCGCTGAACTCTGGGGAAGAGGCGAGTCCCCTCCTGCTTCAGAGAGCATCCCACACCCAGGCGAGAGGGGCTTTCCAGCCGGAAGTAGCAACCAGGGTCCTGGCTCTCCGTGGCACGAGGTAGCTTCCGAGCTGGCTCCTGTGAGAAGACAGGAAGGGGGGACCATCCATGCCCTAGTTGCCCGTTCCTTAGGGTGTGCAGACGGACACAAGCAAAACCAGAGCGTGCTAGCGACTTCAGCTTCTGCTCACAGTAGCAGACAACGCCCACTTCCTCCGCTGATGTCCACGTTTCCTCAGTGGATGAGGTAATTGCACATCACGGTCTGGCGAGCTTTTCCTCGCGGTATTCACCAGCTCCTCGTCCGCAGCCTCTTTTCAGGTTAGAGACTCTGGAGAAGGGCAGTTGCTTGGCTGGACACATGGGCAGCGTGGCTCTTGGTACCAACCGCGCTTGGGTCAATAACAAATCCTTACACGCTACGTTAGCGCAAGCTTTGTCCCAGGAAGACAAATAACGGAATAAAATGGGGGGTTGACATGGAACTTGCGTTCATCCACCTCAAACCAGTACACAGGAAAATCTTAAAACAGCTGAGCTCGTTTGATTGACAAACATCACGTAAAGCAGTCATGTTTGCCTGTGATGTCGATGCAAAGTGCCAGCTGCACTGCACTAGACAGGAGGGGTATGTACAAGCTACCGCTGGTAGGTTCGAGTGTCTCACAGGGGTGTGAACTCCTGTTTCACGCTTAGCTGACTCGGAGGCACTTAGAATCGTAGAATGGTTTGGGTTGGAAGGGACCTTGTCAGACACACTGGCCTAATTCAAAATAGAATTGCAGATCTATGGCTTAATATTATAAAGCAACTAAGACCAAAGTATGCAGCAGCACGTGCTTATATTCTGCAATCAGGTGTCCCAGCAGAAAATAACCAGTAAATTACTCATACGGGACCTCATGATGAAATTAAGTTGAAAAGGAACAGCTGAAGCTGTTCATGAGAGCGAGAACACTCCTGAAGGCACTGGCTTTGTGCTAGCCCTCGTAGCCCAAATCACCCTTAATCTTGCATTCGAGAGCTTGTGAACTTGTGAATTTTCTTCCATGCAGCAGGCAGGATGCTCACAGCAGCACGGAAAGTCCTGCTGGCTGCGCTCGGAGGCCATCGGCAGCAGAGCTGTTTGGAGTGAACCGCCCTGGAATTCAATTCCGCACCCAGGCCTGGCAGCGAGGAGACCTGCTGACCCACCGCCCTTGCAAACCACGACACCGTGCCTAGGAAACACGGAAGCTGCCTGGCTCTAACTCACGGCAAATCCTCAGGGCAGCTGTCAGGTCATTCTCCTTCATGTCTCTCCCCATCAGGGTTTCTGGAAGATGGAAGAAAAAAGCAGCATAGCCTGAGCCATCATCTGCTGTTTAGAAATGTGGCCATTTTTGCTTCGTTTGCTGTTTCTCATAAGAAAAGGGAAGAGATGCAGAGGCCTAAAAATCAAAATGCCTTTTGACTGGAATTTGGTATGAGCATGTCAAAAGGGAGAGACTCCAGCAAAGCCAGCTAGCAAGAACTGGAGGGAAAAATGGCTGTCGGCATTTGTACCATGAGGCTGGTACAACAGAATACATGTGCTCTCTTCCCTTTAACACTTCTCCCTAATGCCAATATGTCAATTTAAGGGGGTAGGACAAAAAGGCACAAAGCAAGCCTACAGTGGGTGGAGAGGGAGCCTGGGAGGATTACA